CTTGCTATACACCAAATAGGTATGCTTCTAAACTATAATCAGGTCTTGACTTGGAAACCGAGTCACTTGGGGAGAACCGTGGTTGAAACTGCAACCTGTTAAGATGCACAGTTTGTTGTAATTCAATGGTGTCTTGAAGCCTTTCCATTTAACTTTGTGCAATTCAACTATTTACTCCGAATAGAGGTTGTTTGACCTTGTTTTTTGCAACATGGTCATATTGGTAGTAAGACTTATTGGAACGCAACTAGTCCGGGGTCCATTGTCTGCATGATCATTTGCAAAGTTGAACCGTGGGCGTGGTACGAGAAAACGTTCGCTAACTTTTCATTATTTATCAAATATAGCCACGCTTATCCCATCGTAAAGTTACCTGGAATCACATTTTCATCTGTTAATTTGGGACACTTGCCATGTTACGTGAGGCTTGTATCGGCATATAGTTGCCGTTTTGCTCTTGGTCCTGTTTGTCTTCACGGCCTATGTGAGCAAGCCAATTGTTGAATTATAGCTAAGTCAAAAATAACCTTATATATACTTGCTATCATGTTATGCCTTAAACTAGTATTAACAATCACATTTATCCTCAACCGTTGATTTCATATGAGCAACAAGGAATCAGTTTTCAAGGCCCTGCTGATTTTGGGCTCGGCGTAATCGCATTACTTCTTATGGTCTCGCCATTCTAGTGCCATCTATGCAACACAAATATTTATATCTTACTGTTCTTAAAGGACATCATGTTAGCAACATCGAAAGAAGGGCATTCTTTTGTTGGCCTTCATGAAAGACGAGCAGATGTTTCTTCGCCACATTTATAGCTTTTACCATCATAACAAGCACACAGCAAGACTTTGAATTTATTTCTGATTTTAAAGTAGGAATGATACTGCCATTGCTTCTTGCATTGTGCATTAACTTTCATTACCCATCCGAGAGGCATTTCTTTCCTTCGCTTACTCTATAAAAATTATAGTGCAGCTGAGTATGAACTTTTTTAGCTGAAACTTCGTGTGAGGCTCCCTTGATATATTGATTACGCTTTTTACACTGGTCAATGGTTATTTGGATAAGTCTCTAGAGTCTGGTTAATTCGAGCGTAGAGGGTCGCTGTCCAGCTTCTTTTGTCTTCCTAGTTGATTGGGATCAGAAATATCAGGATCTGATATCGAAATTTGGCACTTACGGATATATGTTGTATTAAATATGTCAAGTATTGTAAAACTTTTCTTGGCCTCTTGCATTTTTCATCTGATCGAGTTCATGAGGTATGAAGTATCCCAAGAAAATCCCAACTGTCAAGGGGGAAAAGTTAGAATCCGATTCCGATTAGCCGATTTTCATACATTAGCATAGCTATATAAAAAATGCTTTAAATTTAAAATAGAATGCCCAAAGTTATATCAGATATAAACATAATCACTCTTCTGCGCCCTACGTTGAGATGATCTGTCTACGTTAATCGGTATCTATTGACTGAGTAAAAATAGGCTAGATCGTCTTCCCACTGTGGTCTCGATGGCATTAATACATTCTTCCTCCGCAAATAAGTCCCTTTGGAATATATCCCAGTTTAAAAATTAAATATACATTCCATTTTCATTTAATATATGAATCAAAGTCTTCAGGACTGAGGATAATTTATTCGTTTTACACAACATTAAACTTAATAAAATCTTTAAGAGAGGTTGGATCTCTTTCTCTTACCTAAATTTTGTTGTGTAGCTATTGAGGACTAGCTGGAATTTTAGCATCAGCATCCATACCTATTTTATCCCCTCCTGTCTGCATCATAACTCTTGGTCACTGAAATCAATCTATTCAGTCATTTTTCCTATATGTTCCATTCCAAAAGGCTTACTGCCTTTTGACATACCAAGTCTTAATTGATCCGCTTTCCGTCGGTCCAGTTTGTCATCTCTTCCAGATCAATCGATCTATCCGCCCATCTACTCTGCTCAGTTCGGCTTTTCTCTCACACCAATCAACTAATATGCACATTCTCCCTCTTCCTCTAGTTCGGTATTGCTTTCCTTTGTCCTCTCACTCTTTCTCTCAACTTGCCTGTCATCTGCCCTGTTCTCCTTTCCCTGTTTATCCTCGTATTTTCCCTCCAGCCTGCCGTATGTGAAACAGGAAAAGAGCCTGAGTGTTTAACACTGGCTGGTCTAGTTCTGTTAGCGTTCTACCTTTCTCACTCCTGCATGTGGTCCTTCTATTTTGTTCTTCATCTCTGTCCTCCTAATCATAGCGATTTTCTTTCCCCTACTTGCTGGCAACTCGTGATGCCTGCATTCATCTGAGGCCATCCGTTGCCATGATAAATGGTGTTTTCAAGAGTAGTTTGTCTAAATCTACAATATTCTAAAAAATATTCGAATTGCATTTTCTGGTAATTATGTACTAGTTGAGAATTTCATCTCATGGTCTGTGAGCCACTTTTTTGGCGTTTTTTTATTGCCTAATCTTTTTCGATTTGTGTCCTATTGCTTCTTCATCACTGCCTATTTTTATAGACTACACATACACAT